AAGAGGGAGTCGAGGACCATGTTTCTCAGTAGAGGTGCTAGAACCCCTTCCTGTGGACATACCCTCGCAATCGGTCCTCTTATATTCACATCTTTTACATCTATGTTAACTACTCACTTTGAAAGCACGTTATGTATCCACTCACTAACCATCTGTGGGACATTCCTGTTGGTTAGTGAGTGTATTATCTTGGGGAAGGTGGTTTTGTCAGAAGCACCTTCCATGTCTATGAAAACATACAAGGCGGACTTCTTAGGTATTGTCTGTGGTCATATACTATACTTTAACGCTAAAGTGACGACGAACCGTCCTGTTTTAGCTGGGGTTTAGGATTTTCGCTTACTATCCTGGGTAAAAGAAATGTTCTATTTCGTCTCTATTTTGTGGTTTTGTTCGGATTTTTCCCGGATTTAAGCATCAGTGGAAAATCATTTTCAGAAGCGGCCAACAGCACTTTAACATTACGAACTCGAGAGAGAATGAATACTTTCTATGTCCTTTATTCTCTGTTATTGTTAGACAAGGAGAGGTTGTTTCTTGACAACTCTGTCCGTCTTATGTCATTAATATTAAATAATAATAAATTGCGAGCGAAATATCACACTTTTTATTCTCTTTATATATTTTTGAGCTGAATTGCACCTGTTTTAGTATTTTTTGTTTAATATCGTATTTCTCTAGATAATTAATATAGATATTTTAATATTATCGAAAATAAAAAATATCATGGCAAGAAATAATGCTTTTTTGGTTACAACTTCTGTCCAGTTTTTGAATTTTTTAAATTGGTCACCTTATCTCTACCCTACCAGTTGACCAATGAAAACTAATAGCCCTATAGATCCTCTACTATCCATTCTAATCTATTACTCACTATACGAGGTATAGGGCGCAAGATCCAAAATTATCAATTTTTCTACCAATCTACTAGTATACGACATATTTTTATGCTTTATTAAACCCATCGCAGTTATTCTAGTTTGTAACAAGAAGAAGACACGAGAGGCGCGATCTTGACTTGAATCCATTTTCTTTAAAAATAAATTCCCGAAGAATATCCTGTACTCAAAATATTAATCACGCGCCGTGTTCTCGAATACTTTTAATTTTAAGTAAACTAAAAATAATCGTCGTGTATGGATTATATTGGTGATATATTTTAAAAGCTTTTGATGAATTAATGTTTCTTCAAGATATTTATAGCAATAAAAACGAAAATAAATTTAATGGATAACTAATTCTGAATGCTGTTGGGAATACGAATTAAAACATGTCGTTCCTATGCATTTAACTTATTTTTAGTTAAGAAATAATTTTAAAACATTTATAGAGCAAATATTGTGTGACAGGATAGGTCCATTTTTAACCGACTTCAAAAAAGGAGGAGGTTATCAATTCGTCGCGATATTTTTTTTTTCAGCGATTATTCTTTAACACAGTGTCCGATTTCAATGATTCTTTTTTTGGTAAAAAGGGGGTACTTCAGGGGTAGTCCCATATAAATTTGGTTAAAATCTAATAATTGGATCCATGGGAAAATCCTCAAACTCTTCATTTTTTATGTATGTTTAGCGATAATGCTTTCCCATCTTGCCCGATTTCAATAATTCTTTTTTTGTTAGAAAGGGGGTACTTCAGGGGTGGTGTCCCATATAAATTTGGTTAAAATCTAATGACTGGATCCATGGGAAAATCCTCACTCTTCATTTTTTATGTATGTTTAGCGATTTCTGATTATTTTTTTGTTAGTAAGGGGGTACCTCAAGGGTGGTCCCATGTAAAATTGGATAAGATGTGGTGACGGCATCTGCACGTTTTTGAAGTCGGTTTTTTTAAATTTTTAATTTCTAATACTTGTTAGTAATTTTCAAGATATTTTTATACTTATTTTTATACGAGGGACAAAAGAAAATCAACCGAGATTTGATATGTGCGTTACATACCTAAATTTCAATAGTGACAACCTTTTTCTTATAAAATATAGAGATTTCAGAGTAAACAAACAAAAATATCTTGACTTGCTACAGTAGCCATAACCTAAGTGGCGCATTTTGATTTACTTTATATCCTAATAGCTTTATTTTCGTAAATGAGATACCTAATTGTTCATTTATTCAAAGAACATTGTTTTTATTTGCACATTAAAATAATCCTTGAACCAAAAAAATAACAAACTATGTTAATTTGAATACCATAAGATGTATGTAAAAGTCAATCTGCACTTAGTTAACTTCCGATGTTAATGGTTTGAAGAAAATAATAAAAAGAGTACGAAATTAAAATTAATTAATACGTACTAAACTTAAGTTAAGCTTAAGCTATAATTTTCCAGAGAGTTAGTAAATTTGTTTAGTTATATGAATAATAAATGAAGAAGCTAGACAACTTGAAATAGAAATAAACCGGACCAAAATCAAATATATGAAAGTAGGAAGGGCAGAGAGTAATAGGCAGAAATACATAAAGACACAGTGACAAATTCGAAACAGCCACCTCAACTAGGGACAACAATAAGGCAACCCGGTATGGAACAAGTAAAAGGAAGGATTTTTATAGGATACTAAGTCTATGGCAGAAACAGTAAAGTAATTGCGAAAAAAACTAACAATATATATGTTACTAATAAGACTAATAATTACGAATATCCTTAAAACAGCAAAAAAATGATAAGAAAGAAGGAGTCCTAAAAATAATAAGATAATCATACTAAACCAAATTTAACAAAAAATGGAGAAAGGAGATTAGAAACGAAGACGATACGATACATAAAAGCACAGCGTCTGAAATGACCAAGACACGCCATGAAGAGAAAAACCTACAAAATTATTTGTTAAAAAAAATACAACAATAGATCATCCTAGGGCCAAGGAGAAGGGGAAGACCGAGGAAAAGGGAAATATACAATATTATTGGGAAAAACAGACTGAAAATCGAAATGCACAAATAAGGAGGAAAATAACATGCGAAGGAAGGGCCTACCAAAATCAGTAACGCCTAATGAAAAGTATATTACGTAACAAGAGTTGTAATTAATCCATTACGTACATAGCCGCACAGCGGCGAGTGCTTAATGGGCTTATAACTCGTGTAACGTACTATACTTTTTCTACGCCTACTTATTTTCTTCTATTAAATAAAGGACATATGCTTATGTCGCAATCCATAAATTTTTGATAGGTAATTTCGTACCTTCCTTTGGATTTTAGCGGTAATAAATTATGTGTAGCAGCTTTTTCTATAATCTCCAGTGGAGTGCTCATAATTTCATCATTTTCTCTACTAACAGACATATTCGTAGGTAAAGTTGAGAAAATTTTGGAATACAATAATATTTTGTTACAAAAATTGACAATATAAATGACAAGACGTTTATTTCCATAGCATGCTAAGAAAACGCGACTTATTTTTTAAAAAATTGTATAATGTGTTGCCGACATTTAGGGGCATCATTTTTTAATCCATAATGTATCTCGCTAATGATAAAAGTTTTTATGTTTTTCAATTGACGAAATTTATGTAAATAGACCAAATAAAGTCGAAGATAGACAAAAATTTGATTGCAATTTGATTAAACTAAGAAATTTAAGTTTTCTTATCAAAATGCACGTGTATGTTAAGAGATCTCATTACGTGCATGATATTATTAAAGTCATTTACAAGGAATGTTGACAGTGCGATTTTTAACGTTTACTGACATGGGGGTAGAAAAATATCTTTTAAACGCATTATTAGTTAGCCACAATCTATAGATTGATGATTATTTGATGAGTTATTTATTAAAATTTGGCGGTAATTTAGTGAAATTATACCTTTGTATATCTTAAATAAGCACATATAAGTGACAATTCTGTCAAACTAATTGTCAGTAAATTTTTTAATTATTTTACTTTTTGATCGAAAATTTTGAGGTTATGTTAAAAAGTGACTTCTACAAAAACTGTAGATTTTTGCTTGATCTACAACTTTTGCATTCAATGTTCTTGTTTTTGATGTCAAGTTTCGCCGGAAATCGAGGTTATATCATTTTTACCCCTTTTCAACCCCCTAAAACTTTACTTTATCCCACCCAGATTACATTTATTTTTATTTACTTATTACAAGCCTCTCTACTATTTATACTTATCAAAGTCCAGTTAACAGCTTTTTTCCTCTAAATGAGTTAATTCGACTGGTCTATAAGCAGATATTAACACTTAACTGTGTAGAGAAGGCATTTAAATAAACGACTTTAAAAAGAAACTCAAAAATAAGAAATTACATTAATTTATTTGAAAATGTATCTAATACGGTCCTGTCTAACTTGAATAATGTAGATAAAATTTCGTACATTCATCCCGTTGTAGGAATCATTTACAAAACTGAACTTGTCGGGGAATCTTCAAGATGTAGTGCTTAAATACATTGAACGTGAAAGGGCTACAATTGATTTTCCCTCAATTTAAATTCATTACTTCAAAAAAACACGCTACTTAAATCACAAGCGACTGAATTACAATAATTGGAACACAATTCATAAGATAAGCCGAAAAAAATATATAAAAACATAAACAGCCTTATTATTTAAAGCAATTCATACACAAGTCTAGGTCCGGATTTCGATTTTTCTTCTTTTTATTTTTGAGTTTTGAAAAAGATGTTTATTTTAACGACTTCTATACACAGTTAAAACAAGTATAAACTCAGGATTTAGGTACTCCGTATATTCTAGAATAATTAAGCTGGTTAACCTATTATGTAGATAATGAAAGATCCAAAATATTAAAAAAATATATACTATCTTTATTAACTATTTTTAATAATGCTGTGTACCTCACATTCTTTTGCAAAACTGCAATCAAAAGATACAAAAAAATCAAGTGACAAATAATATTGTTTGCTTTTAAATTGGTACTGTCAATAGTTATCGACAGACCAAACAGTAACGTTCAAGTTCTCTTTTGATATGACACCAAATGTCTCTGATATTCTGAAATTTATACCAAGTAAAATTGATCACTCACCTCTAATCTTTCAGTTGCTTTCCTCAGTCGTTCATAGTCCACAGTTCCTTGTACGGTCAATAATTCAACCATAAAGTCAGCTTCCTGGACGCTCTGCTGCACCAGCTCCAGTTGCCTTTCGAATCGCTTCCATAAAGCCAACCTGCTCCTGAGTAACGCCAAGATATCGCCGCATCGCTTTTCCAACGCGGTATGGTCATCTTGAAGCTTAGAGATGTCCCGTTCGACAGTTAACGGAGAAACAGTCACTTTCAATCTGGTAGGCAGAGTATGGAGTAATTGACGTATGGACATCAAGTCCTGCCACAAAGTTACCAATTCTTCACCAATTTCGTAACACTCGTTGATGGATTTTTCCACTGCGTCGCTTCCAAGCTTTTCAGCACTCTCGCATAGATCTAATTTTTTGCTCATATCCGAATGCTTTCTTCTGACTCTTTCTATACTCTTATGAATGGCTTGTAGCTGTTCTTTTATCAGCAACCCACCTTCCAGCTCCTCAGCTATGGTGATCTCCAATCGCTTTGATAAAGCCAAAAGAGAACCAACCTTTTCAGATTCGCTAGCAGATAGTAAACCCAGCCTACTTAATTCATTCTGGATGGTTTCAATTCTAGTGGACATAATTTGCAGTCTTTCTACGTACAAACTTAATTCTTCTTCTGTTTTTATAATACCTTTCAGATTATTAACGTCGGTATTTAAATCTTGAAGTTCTTGTTCCAAGAAAAGAAGCTTTTCGTTTACAGGTACATCTGGAGCTGATATTGTGTCCAAAATAGATGCTTCTAAATCGTGGATCTGTTTCGAAATCCTGTACCATTGGGCATTTAACTCGGAGTTATTAGCGCGTTGGTACATTTCATCGCTAATTGGTACAATCTGAAGTGATTTATCTAAAGCAGATGAAGCATTGATTCTGGCTGCGTTATGAACCTCGTGCTGAGCTTTTAATTCCCAGAAACGTCTTAAGTGTCCTCTAGGACCCGCAGGCACTTCAATAGTATTCAACTCTATCTCTGCTTCTCTTAACCAGTACTCCACCTTATCGCTAAGCATGTTATACATCTTCCAACTATCTTTAAAAGCTTGCAGCCTTTCCAGATTGACTTGGACGTCTTCTTGAAGTTTTTGAATGATAGTCAAAGATTCTGTATAAGTTTCTTCTAAATCTGAACAAGAAACTAGATCTTGGAGTTTCTGTGCCACGCAGTTGAGATGAGTCAATTTGGCGTGATGGTAATCGATATCAGCTGCTAATGAATTATGCAAATCTATGTATCTTTCGTAATCAGACGAAGTAACGTTGTTCAAATCAGGTACACGCTGTTGTGCTACTTGCAACCATCTCATTTCATCTCTGGTGCTTTGTTCTAGTACTGTCCATCTGGATGCAGCTAGTGACATAATTTGGAACCGACCCGTAGATTTGTCCAAAATTACGCTAGCTCTTTCGTAAAGGTTTTGATGTAATTCAGAATGAATAGTTCTGGTTTCGGAATCCAAGTTTTCTTCAAGAGATTCTAAAATTGCTCGGCAATGGCTTAGGTTGACGAAGAACTTTCGATGGTTCTGCATTTCATCTTCTAAGTGTTCTAAATTGCGTACTGAAACCGGACTTTCCACCAAAGCTTCGGCTATTAAGATAATTTGGCTGAACTCTTTAAGGGTTTGCTCATATTCATCAGCTAGTGATAAAAATTGATATGCTTTTTCTCTTTCTGTAGTAATGTGCTGTTCCATTTGCTTAGTTAGTTCGTTATTCAAGTAAACATCTCTGGGTATTTCTTTTGTTGGAAAATCTCTCATTAAGCCTTTAGCACTAGCAATCAGGTTAACAACTTCTGCCATATTAGCTCTATTATTATTTTCTAATTTTTCAAGCTCGTTTAATTTAGTTTGCGGAGCAGCGTCAGATTCTTTCAAGTCACTTAATTGCCTTTGTATTTGTCTTATTAAATGACTAACACTGCTAACTTCCTCTAGGAATTCGTTCCATCTCTTCAAATCTTCGGCAGCAATTTGTTCATTTTCTTCTGTAACTTCTTCAATAACCTTAACTTGTTGTTGGAGAGAATCGATATAGCTCTTAATTCTTTGCCTCTCATCGTCATTATAGATATCATCAGTTTGTTTGACGACAGATTGCAATTGACCAACTTTACTTTCGATATTAGCGATTTCTTGCTTAAGTTCATTAAATTCGTGAACTCTAGCTTCAGAAGGCCCTTCCAACGTCTGTTGTCTGCTAAGATAGATTCTATATTCAATAGTTTCTAACCAAGTTGTAATAGTTTCGACTGTAGTAATAACAGTTTGTTGTATTACTACTACATCTCTTCTTTCTACAGCCTGTTGCAAAGCAACTAAGTTCTGTTGAATGTTCTGATCTCTTTGTTGGATAGTTTCATCGGTTATAACTTCGTTCAGAGTAGCTAGGTATAAAACATCGCTAAGATGAGTTGTTTTTCTAGCATTTTGTAAGTTTTTAAATCTCTCTAGAGCTTGCGCTTGGTTCCATTTTACGTTAATATCTGCAAGTCCTAACGGCGACTGCTGAATTTCAGATTGGATTAGGGATGTTGGGAAATGTTGCGGTTCTTGCCAAGATTTCACTCGGTATTCTGGAGGGGATAATGGAGCACTATCAGACGCTGGAGTAAGAGGAGTATCAGCTACTATTCTTGGAGATTGGACTTCTTCTATCGTAACAGAAGAAACATGTTTGCCTTTTCCTTTTCCTTTTGTCAGGACTGGTTTCCTCTTTTGTATTTCTGATTTGACTAAGTCGTCAAGAGGTTCTTCAACGATGGGTTCCGATTTAGTAGGTTTATCAACAGTTGGTTGAGATATGCTGTCTGGTTTAGCCAGTTCTTCGATCGGTGGTTCTGGAGTTGGAGGTAAAGACACAGGTTTGTCATTAATAAACACTGTATCATCACCGTCCTGTGATGTCCTTTCCGAATGTAAGAAATCAACAGTTGATGTTACAGATGTAGGTTTCACAGAAATATCTGATTTTACCAATAAGGTATCTTTAATGTTTGATTCTGCTGTATCAGTTTTAACTTCAGATTCGGTTAGAATGGAATCGACAATGAAAGATGTAGCAAACTCTCGAGGAACATCTTTTTCCACAACAGTATATGTGTCTTTTGAAATGAATTGTACTTCGGATCTATCTGGTGACTCTTGAGGTAGGTTTATAGAAATGTCAACTGTTGTAGTTTGTTGATCTAATTCACTAGCAGCGGGTTTCTTAGGCTTACTAGTGATATGTTTGACGGTTTCTTCGTCTATGTCGGTGAAAACTTTAGAAACAACTGCTGTTTCTTTAACTTCGGAAGTTAAATTACTACTGCCTTTAATAGGTTTGTCTTCTTCGATTTTATCAAATTTAACTTCTTCAGGTTCTTGGATTATTACAGGTTTTTTAGGCCATTTAACTGGAGATGGACTTCTAGATCGCCTAGCAATATCAGCGTAAGTATCTTTGGATATTGAAGATTCTTCAACGGTATTTTGTCTTTTAAATTCAGAGAAGAGATCTTTTTCAGGAGCTTCAGCTTGAGATTTTTTCGATTTTTTATGCTTCTTCCTTTTAGGTTTGGTAGGAGATTCTCCATCTCTTTCAGAATCTAAAAAGGATGTAACTACAGAGTGTCTATCGATAGGAGCTCCGTCAACAGTGACTTGAACATCGTATTCTTCGTTATCAGATGTTATACTTTCAGACTTTTCAATACTTTCCAATGGTGAAGTTTCCACTTTGGGTTCTAAATTTTGTAATTTGTCTTCTACGGCTTGAGCTGGTTTCAGAATAAGATCATTCTGTATTTGAATTGGTTCAATTTCACTAATCGATTCTGAGACATCTGAAGGAACAAGAATCGATGCTTTTATGTGCACTTCATACTGTTCTGAGGAAGTTGGTGTTGGAGATGGACTCGGTGTCATTAATTCACCAACTTCTCTAATTATTACAGGACTGGTTTGTGTAACAATTTCTGTAGTTTCAATTTTAGTTATCGGTTTCGTTTCTATTGGTTGTTCCATTGGAGGAGCAGATGGTTCCGGTTCTGGAGATGTTTGGAATGATGATTCTTTAATTTCTGGTTGAACTTGAGAAGCAATTTCTGCCGTTTCAATCTTTTCCGGTGATTTAGTTTGTGCAAACTCTTCTTTACTTTCTATTTTTGTTTGCATGGCTGAATCGCTCCTTACTATTTCAACCGGTTCGGGAGTTATAGTTTGAACAGACTCTTCAGTTATTTCTACTTTTTCTGGAGTAGCAGTTTGTGTGGAAATTTCTGCATTCTCTTTAATAACTTTCTCCTCTGGTGATTCTGATTTTGGCGTTGTTTGAGTAACGATTTCAGTGGTTAAAATATCGACTTGAGTAGAGGTTTCACTGATTTCTGGTTTGATTATAACTTCCTTCTCTTCGTCACTTGTTTGGATGTAAGTTTCTGCTATTTCTTTAGGAATTTCTGGAGATGTTTGAACTGACACTTGTTCTGTTACTACTTCGGGTAGTTTTTCAGGTACAGTTGTACGTTCATTATCTAAAAATTCAGAAGTTAAATCTTTAATAGGAGAAGTCTGTACCGCATCTTCTTGAATCATTACTGCTTCTAATACAGGTACTAGAGTGACTATTTTAGAAGTAATTTCTTTAGGTGATTCACTCTGAGGTCTACTTATTACTTTTTCTTCGATAATTTTAACGGTTCCTGGTTCAGATGGTGTTGAAACAGTATGGTAGGAATCAGCAGGTGATACAATTTCATCATCTTTAGCTTCAAATATTGTAGGTTCTGATTCTATCGGTTCTTCAGTTTCGGTTTCAGACTGCTTTCTCTTATTCTTCTTACGTTTTTTACTCTTCTTCGATACTTCCGGTTCAATTTTTTCAACTTTAGTTGGTTCCTCGTCACTAAACGGTTCGGAAATATCTACTGAAGATTCATATACTGATATTGGTATATTGGATTCTTCGGATTCCTTAACTTTAACTTTTTGTTTTCGTTTCTTCTTACGACGTTGCTTTTTCTGCTGGTCATCATCGTGACTTTCCTCTACTGTTTTATCTGCTTCATAGCCGGTTTCTTTTCCTTTAAGACTTTCATCATCGTCAGATTCTGTAACGGATCCGAATATTTCGATAGTTGGTTTTGGAGTATCTTCAGATTTTACAGAATCATCTGCAATTAAGATGTCTACAGATTCCGCTAAAGAGGTTACGACAGATTCCGCCAAAGATGTTATAACAGATTCAGGTTTTTCTTCTTCCAATTCTTGCTTTGGTTCTGTTTCGACTGAAACGACTATGTCTTCTTTAATTTCTTGTGGTGTAGGTGTTTTAGAATCTTTATGTTTCTTTTTCTTTTTACTTCGCCTACCCCCGTGGTCAATATCGCTGGGGGTGGTTGGCTCAGTTTGTTCAACTTCGAGTTTTGGAACATCGAAATATTCAGTTTTGGTAATTGATGGTAGTTGAACATGGATATCCTTTTGCAAAACGTCAGAAGGCTTTGAGGTATCGGCATTTTCTTCAATTTTCATGGTGAGTGATACTTTTGGTGTTGCGATGGTAGAATCTTCAAGTTTTTCTTCTAGAGAAAGAACTATTTCGACTTCCTGAGGTGGTTCAATCTTTTTAACATTTTCTCCTGTGGCTGCTACCAAAGTGGGAACATAAACCGGTGTTTTCGGTTCTGTTTTAGTAGATTGAACTACAGTTATGGCTGTTTCGATTACAGGAGATTTTACTTCAGGCGTTAGAACAATTTCTTGAGGAGTTTTCGTAGATATTTTATCCTTTTCTTCTTTGATTATTTCAGGTAAGGATTTCTTCTCATTTTCTAGAAATTCGGTTACACTATCACCTACAGTAATTTTAGATTCCTGTACTATATCAGGCGGTTTCTGCGAAATGCTAATTTCTGGATGAGTCTCTTCGATTGACAAAACTATTTCTACGTCTCCAGAAGGGCCTGTCATGATGGACGTTACATGCTCTGTTTCTTGTATTTTCGTAGTTTCAACAAAAGGTAACTTTTCTTCACTAATTTTAGTAGTAGGTTCAACTATTGAAACAGCTTCAGTCTTGGCAATAATGTGTTCCTCTGAAGTTAACTCGGGAGATTTTTCTAAAGAAACCTTAGTGATTTCAATGGGGAGAGATTCGGTGCAAGATGATAATTCTTCTTCAGTTTGTAATGGACTTTGACTTCTAGGTGTACCAGATACCTTTTTAGTCTTTCCAAATTCTCGTTTCTTCTTACTCTTTGGTGATTTTGTAGCATCTGGTAGATGTTGCAATTGCTCAGAAACTAAAAATTGAGCTGATAACTGTCTTTCTAAAAGACCAGTATCAGTAATGTCTTCAAGATGCGGAGCACTAGGAGAATGTAAATCATCGGTTATTATTTCTTCTGTAATTTTTACTTCCAATGGTTCATCTGGTTTAGTTTCAATTTCAGTAATAGCTACTTTAGAATGTAGATTATCGGTTATGATTTTTTCTGTAGTTTTTACTTCCAATGATTCTGGTTTAGTTACAATTTCAGTATTGGCTACTTTGTTTGTTTCATCAGTCGTTTTGGGAGATTCAGTCTTTACGTCAGAAGAAATGTCATCTAAAGGTACTTCAGTGACAGCTGGTAATACAGAAGAAATTTGAATAATATTCTCAGAGGTAGAAGTAGTAACTGTTTTTTGTTCACTTGAAGTAGGTGCAGAAGAAACTACAGCCCTATGAGGAGAAATTATTTTAGTACTACTTTCAACAATAGTTGTCGGTTCAATTGGACTGGTTGTAGAAGGTAGTACAATCTTTTCCGGGGAAATTGTCGAAGTACCAATGATAATTTCTTCAGTAGAATATTTAACTTGTGATTCAGTAGGACTACCTACAGAAGACTCTACTGCTTGTACTGCAGAACGTTGCGTAGTACTGCTTTCAACGACATTTTCACTAACAGATATTGTCTTTTGTTCAACTGGGGTAATTATAGTGGACACTATTGTCTCTACAGGGGAAATTTTAGCTGTAACATTATCAGGAGACGTTTCTTCTGCTTCAATCGGTAGTTGTTCTTCTATATTAAATGAAATGATTTCTTTAGTTTTTGATTCTTTAAGAGACTCGTCATCTGGAGTGTTTTTATCTTTACTATCTTTAGGTGCTGTATCAACTTTAGGTGCTATAATTTGACTACTGACAACTTCACTGTGAGCAAGCCTTTCGGCAACTAGAAAATCTTTTGCAATATTCGAAGGTTTTTCTGTAACTAATTCAACTATTTCAAGTGGTTTCTCTGTGTCTATTTCAACTGGTTGTGCAGATATAGGCTGAGGTGCAGTGCTTTGTTCTATCACATACCTCTCTTCTGGTTCAGTAACTACCGGTACGGTTTCAATTGGTTTTCCATCTGAAGTGGTTGTCGTTTTTGGTACCTTTTCTGTGACTGTTACTTCTTGTTGTGAATAAGAAGGTTTTTCTCCAAATTGCTGTTGTTGAATTATTTGTCCGTCTTCAGTTCTTACGACGTTTATGCTTACTCTTGGTATGCCTTCTTCCGTTACCTCTATTTCTTCCGGTTCTTCGATTACTTCTTCTTGAACATGCTCTTTGCCATCGATTATGACTGTTCTTCGTATTATTCTTCTAGTTTTTCTTATTATTCTTCTTGTTACTTGCTGAACTACAGCCCGTACACTTGAACTTGAAGTATGTATTTCGTTACCTTCTAGTGCTATTTGCGTCTGATCTGCTGGTATCAATTGATTATTTTGATCGTTAATAAAAGTAATGTCGCCTTCATGGAGTTTGATGCCTTGAATATCTACTTCTTCTTGTCTAAAAGTAGGACCAGTAACAGTATAGTGTGTTTCTGGTTCTGTCTCGTATTCTTGAACGTTAATTTCTCCTCCTGATGCTCCTGAAATGACCTTCCCGCCATATTGTTGACTTGTAACTGTAGCTTTACTTCCATCTCCTTTGGCTACGGATGTGGCGCTTTGTTGTCCTGTTAAGGTTATTTGAGAAAACGATTGGGTAACTGGCACTCCATCTTCTGTTAGAGCACTTAGAGTACTAAATTGCTGATGTTGGGACGATTCTTGATGTCTGACTACTGTTCTATGGAATTTCCTTACAATTACTCGTTTAGAGCCATCAGCATCTACAATAACTTCTGTGGTTGTTTCATCGGGTTCTACAAATACAGTTTCAAATGCCTGGTTAGGTGCTACATTACTTATATTTAATTCTGTATGTCTAGTTTCGGATTCGGGCCTCTTTCTATAATTAGCCTCAACTAAAACATCATCAGGTTCCTCTATAATGGGCTGTGGTTCTGTCATAGGCCTAGTAGCAATTTGAATAGTTTCCTGTCCTCCAGAAGTACGTTTTGATATCGTTATGGTTTCTTTTTGCTGAGTTTGCTCAGCTTCGCTAGACGGTCGCGACATCTGTGTTTGTATCTGAGCATCTACAGGTTGGTTATAAGTAACAGTAAAATCTTTGGTTAGAGGTTCTTCAACTGGCGATGATAAGCTCCTACCTGTTTGCGTTTCGATAGTAGCTACAGGTTTTGGCGCTGATTCTTTAACAATGAATTCTTCGTTTATGACTTTGACTTCAGTATGTACTGGAACTTCCTCTATTGGCATAGAAGTTGAATCTAAAGTATCTAAGGAAGCATCTGGTGTTTCAGCTTTAACTTTTTGTTCTTTAATTTCTTCTAAGATCTTCTTTGTTATTTTTATTCTCTCGGTGATGATTATTTTTTGTTCCTCAAATGTGGTTATTACAATTTCAAGTCGGTGAATTAGAGTAATTACTAAACTTTGCAAATCGGGATACTTTTGGAATTGTCCACAAGCTTCTTTAAGTTCTTGTAACTTGTTTTCTCTATGCAAAAGTTCTACTTGTAATAGTTCTAAGTTAGTTATATGCTCTTCTGCTTGAGTTTCAGTTTCAGGTTTAACCAGTGTGGCTATTTTCTTGTTTGTAACTTCAAGCCACTCTTGTATTTCAACTAGCAGAATTTGGTACTGAGTTATTTCTTCTTGTTTCTTAATCTGAATTTGTTGAGCGTTCTGAAAAATAAAAGCAGTATTAAAGTGTGTTGGCGTTTAATTGTTGTTATGTTTTTAACTTACCAGTACCAAAAGCCTTCCGTGTTCTGCTTGGGACAATAGAGTGGCAATACGAGTCCGAATTCCAGCCAATTGGGCTGATAGTCCTTGAGCTTCGTAGTCGGCTGTTAGAGAATTGACTTGTCCTTCTAGTTGTATCGCTTCTGCTGCGTGTTTTTTCAGATCACTTGTTATGTTCTAAAATAAGAATAGAATAGTTAAAAAGAAATCAAGTTAAAGTATGTATTGTAAAAGTTATATTTGAACAAAATGGGCATGGTTATTGAACAAGAAATTATAATAAATATACAAGGTGGTTCAACGGGGATATTAATACCTAATTAATGTTCTTAGTTTAGATGGTAACATCTTTTTATCATATCCGCAACTATCATTAGGCATTCCTCTCCACTCCGTTACTATAATCAATACAATTTAAAAAGAGAAAGTACCAAGTATGACACATCATGGATAATTCAGCTATATGATTATTTATTGCGTTACTTTTGATTTTAGCGTCCTCTATCGGGATAAAAACTGAAAACTTTTGTAAAACTGTAAAGTGTGACACTTCATTTGATAGCTAATTTTATTAATAATTTAATGCACAACATAAAGAATCATAATTAAATGAAACATAAACTTAAATAATTAAAAAATTGTACAGAGCTCTATCTGTATCTGTAACTTGTGGAGGGTGGATTACCCCACGGCACTTAGGCCTCACTAGGCCTATTGTGCATCCTCTTAAGATGGTGGGCACCTCCTAGCTGGTAAGCCAGCCTATAGTAGTTGACAACGTCGCCACGATGTGCTTATTTCTATATAGGCCGGTGTTAGCTGATACTCGCCGAACACAAATCTTCTAATAAATGAGAGCGTCGAGCAATCGTAAAGGATATGGTCGATGGTCTCATCTTCTTGTTCGCACCCTCTACAGAGTGCGGATTCTGACAGCTAACGTAAAGCTAAGAAATAATATTTCTTAGATCGTAGAAAAAGTCTTTAATGACAGGTTTATGTTTCTTATTAGAAATAGTTAAATATTTTTGCTTTTTCTAATTTTACAAGAAGCGAAAAAAATATTTTATTTCTTAGCGACAGTATTTTTAGATAATATTTAAATGGTTCATAGTTAGGACTAGGATAAAATACTGTTATCATCAGTATTAAAAAATACGGTGTTTTGTATCTAAAATGTTAAACTAACATTCTACATACCAGGTCTGACAACATTATTACAGGATGCAAAAATTAATTCAGTAGAAGATTTAAATTGTTTTATTCTTGCAAACATATCGCTTCTTCTCCAGAATAGTGACACAATCCCAAAAAAATCGTAATTTCGAGGTTAATTTAAAATTTAACCCAAATCCCTCATAATCTTTAACAGGAATAATGTTATAATATTTTTTTTTTAATTAAAATATAGTGCTAGTGTCATTATTCTTAAAAAAATAATTTTAACACAATTTAACAAGAATATCGTCATTAGTTCAGTTAATCAGTAGTGTCCCCAAGGAGTGAGCTTGTGTTTTGTCGAAAATAGTGACATATTATCGAAAGTGTTGCCAAAACTAATTCAGTATTATCATGAAAAAGGACATATCTTGGAATAACCCGGTCTTCCCGAAAATATCAATATTAAAATAATGAATAAGTATATCCAACTAATCAAATATGCTCATCTTAAATTATTAAAATAATGCTAAAATAATTCGAGTAGAAAGTTAATATTCAGGATATTTTTTTTTATAAAAAATTTTACGGTGATATTGACTACAAGAAAGTTGATATTGGAATGACATATTGTAACAGTATTTTTTTAAATAATTAAAAACTAATTATACAAAAAATATTAATACTATTATTTTGATTGATTTTAATACAAAATTCTTGTAATTATTGACCTGTATAATATAAAAGATGTGATTATTAAAACTTATTGTTTTTTTGACTGTGTCTCTTTTATGTAGAAGAATCGATATACTTATGTATAAACTTAAAATATAATGTAGGTACCTATTTTTATCTAAAAATTAAGAAAATAAATTTGGTCAAAACAGCGCAAGTCGTACTTAAAAGGACAGAAAATTTGTCAAAAACATGTAAATCGTATTTGGAATATTTTTGTATTTGATTAAGTTTACGAGCCTCCAAAGTTTAAAAAATTATCGAATTTATAAAGAAATACAAAGATTTAATGGCCCAAAATGTAACCGTCGAATTATAATTATTTCATTTGCTCAAACTAATATTTTTAAGTTTTCATTAGAAATAGTTTGATAATTAAAGAAGTTAATTGAACAACCGTTATTTTTGATCAAGAGATTATTATATTAATTAATAATGAGTTAAACACAAACGATTAACAATAATCGTTGATTACAATGATTACTTTTACTATTGAAAACGATTCGAAATAATACGTGTTGTGCTACAAATTCTATCTAAAAATAACCATTACAAATATTTTACCAACGAAGGTCATAAATATTTACTTATTTTTAATTATTTCGAGTTCAAAAGTTTATTTTTAATAAATTTACATAAATTGAAACATTATTAGTCAGTATTTCTTAATTTTACGTGGGAGGTAGGTATAATTGACAATTCTTTCAAATGATTTTTAGTATACAGTGTTCCTAACAACTTCTGTTCGGTAAACTATTAAACAGGTTGACTTTTCTACAATACAAAATTTACCCTTATTTCAACGTCGAGCGCATGTCAGCTACCCCTTAAAAAACATGGACTTGATAGCTCATTTTAAAGAGTTTTTATTTTTATAGCTAACGGTTTAAATTGTTTTTTAGGTGACTGTCAAAAAATTACATTTTACGGATTTATAAATATCCCTAAAGTGTCACTTTTTTGGCTACAGTGACTTTACGGCGGCTTTTTTATAAACACTCATGTTTATCATACGTTAATAATTCTGTATAAATTTTATTAGTTAATGATATGTTTTTATTCAATCAATAAATTTTGAAACAATTCTTGCATTTATGCCTCTTTTCAAAAACAAGAATGTAAAAAAAATATTGGCTCTACTTGATGAGCCTAAAAAATGTTGTGTGCACCTCAGCCATGTATGATCTTTTTTGGCTTAACCAGAAGTTGTTTGGCCTCGGCCGCAAATTTCTGATTCGGCCAAAAAATAATCCAACTTTACGGCCTTGGTACACAAATTAATTTGTTTCAATAGTTTTTGAAATAAATAAATTTTAGAATGCAGGGGAAACAACTAAAAATACCAGTGTTGTTTGGGTCGTTTAGTTTATTTCATTATTTTAAATTAAATTTAAAAAAAAATTAATAATTGATAAGTTTTTATTAAAAGTTTATAAAAAGTTTACAAAACATTTTATATAATTACATTATTAAAATACAACAAGGATAACTCTGGGTTTTCATTGGCTTTTCCAGATAAAATAACGACAAATAAATTCAACATTTTTGTCACTATTCATTGCCTTTTTTCGATTTTTGCATTTTTCGATTTTTCGATTTTTCGATTTTTCGATTTTTCGATTTTTCGATTTTTCGATTTTTCGATTTTTCTATTTTTCAACTATTTCGAATAAAAATAGCTTCCAAAATGGCTATGGCTGCAATCCCCCCTTAGAAATCTCACCGTTACATTTAACAGCTGTTTGACAGGTCGTTGAGGTGCCTAATATTAGAATGTTTGCAATGTATGGAATATTAGACGTTAGGAATGATTGGAATGCGTAAAATAAGTCACATAAGAAATACATGGGCGGATTTTAAGAACATTATTAAAGTAGTTAGGATGAACCGAAAATTCTGAAAATCAAGTTAGAAGCAATTATTCAAGAAAATCAAAATCATAAGTCAATCAGAACTTTCGTTCTAGAGTTATCGTGCCGGCATACATATGCACAGACGACCAGACGAAAAATTTTTTTTTGCATTTTCTGACACAGAATGATCGGGAACGTGAAAAAAGTTTAACAAAATGGGGGTTAGAAATTTTTTTCGTCTTCACGAATGCAATTCTGAGGCCCCATAGGAAGGGCCCAATAATTTAGTCAAAAGTGATTTTTCTCACTGTTACAATCGTTCTAATATTTTTTGTTTATATTTGGCAAAAAGTTTATGCATTTTAGGACATTTTAAATTATTTAATTAGATCGACAAAAAAACAGAGATGCACGTAAGCAATAATATTAAAAAAAATGATTACTACTTTGAGGCAAAATATTTTGAAACCTCTAACTCTACCGCAATGAGAAAAGAGGAAAATATTTACTTGAGGTACCAAAAAAATTAATTATTATGATTACGACAGTGGCGTAAAATGTAAGAGGAAAAAACTACCGTATACCTCTTGTAATAACGACAAACTATATTAGAGAATGATATAAACTGTCCTAACATACATACACTTTTTGCTAAGGGTCTATTTATACTCCCTTATTATTAGTATTTGAATTAGTATTATGATTAAGCATTAAACTGGACAAAATATTTAAAAACGGTATTTATACTCGTTTTATAATTAGTATTAGTGCTTCTTTCTTAATAATCTTCCTAATAAGATATAACTCTGCAGTTAACAAAATGTTGGTTACTGAAGAAATGTGTAAGAGGTCAGTTGTGTTCTTGGAATATTTATTAAGATATTTGAGTTTAAAACGTCTTTTCATTAATATTTTTACCAGTTAATTTTATTTAAACATATTATTATTCAAAAATAGGTTTAATTAAGGACATTTTAACGGATTTATGTTTATAATAGATAAAAAGAAGCAGAAATTTGAGACAAATTAGATAGAAAAAAGGCCTTTGCTTCCTCGTGATAACATGTCATTTGTTATTCTGTCAACTTTATACTTGGTAAACACTGGTGATTCACAAAAATTGTATACAGCGCAAGAATTGTACCGAAATATTATCATTTTCGAGCTTGTTGGAACAAACCTAGAAACAATATCTAACAACTTCATCATATGTGTATTGTCAATTGTCATTATCCGTTGTCTATTAAAAACAAAGGCCAAATAAGCTGCATCCTCGTCAATGAACTGGAGTGGGGTAGAAAGCCAGTGTGCATATTGTATCAATAGAACAAGATGCGACTCTATGGGCGCAGCCCTTTTTATTTCTCACCTCACTCGGGAGTATTTATAATAACCATTTTCTGTTTCATATTGTTATTGTTCAATCCACAA